CCATTGAATATGATATTAGCTATGGGTTTGTCATATTTGGCCTTTATCATGTTGAAGTATGCTCCCTCTATTCCCACTTTGCTGAGAGTTTTTATCAAAAATGGGTCCTGGATTTTGTCAAATGCCTTTTCTTCATCTATTGATATGATCATGTGATTTTTATACTGCATTTTGTTTATGTGATATATCACATTAATTCATTTGTGGATATTGTACCAAACTTGCATCCCTGGAATAAATCCCACTTGATCATGGTATACGATCTTTTAAATATATTTCTGGGTGCGATTTGCTAATATTTTGTTGAGGGTTTTACTATCTATGTTCATCAGGGATATTGGCCTGTAATTCTCTTTCTTTGTAGTATCTTTATCTGGTTTTGGAATTAAAATAATGCTGGCCTCATAAAAAGAGTTTGAAAGTCTTCCTTCCTCTTTGATTTCCTGAAATAGTTTGAGGAATATAGGTGTTATTCTTCTTTGAATGTTTGGTAAAACTCCCCTGTGAAGCCATCTGGACCTGGGCTTTTGTTTGGTGGGAGTTTTTTATTATTATTATTATTACTGCTTCTATTTCATCAGTTGTTATTGGCCTATTAAGGTTTTTTGATTCTTCCTGATTCAATTTTGGGAGATAGTATTTTTCTAGGAATTTGTCTGTTTCATCCACATTGTCCAGCCTGTTGGCATATAGTTGTTCATAGTATTTTCTTACAATCCTTTGTATTTCTATGGAGTCAGTGGTTACTTTTCTGCTTTCGTTTCCAATTTTATTTATTTGAGTCCTCTCTCTTTGTTCCTTGATGATTCTGGCTAATAGTTCATCAATTTTTTTAATTCTTTCAAAGAACCAGCTCTTGGTTTCATTGAATTTTTGTATTTTTTTAAATCTCCATGTTATTTATTTCTGCTCTAACCTTTATTATATCCTTCCTCTACTTAATGTGGGCTTTTCTTGTTTTTCTATTCCTAGTTCTTTAAGTTGTAGGGTTAAATAGTTTATTGCTGCTTTTTCTTGTATTTTTGAGGTATGCCTGTAGTGCTATGAACTTCCCTTTCAGGACTGCTTTTGCAGTGTCCCAAAGATTTTGAGTTGTTTTGTGTTCATTTTCATTTGTTTCCAGGAAATTTTTTATTGCTTTCTTGATTTCATTAGTAACTGATTCATTGTTTAATAACATGCTATTTAGCCTCCATGTGTTTGAATTTTGGGGGGTGTTTTTACTGTAGTTGATTTCTAATTTCATTCCACTGTGATCTGAGAAGATGCTTGATATGATTTCAATCTGAGGGGATGCTTGATATGATTTCAGTCTTCTTGAACTTGTAGAGATTTGTTTTGTGTCCTAACATGTGGTCTATCTTTGTGAATGATCCATGTGTACTTGAGAAGAATGTATATTCTGCTGCTGTGGGGTGAAATGTTCTATAAATGCTAATTAAATGCATCTGATCCAGTGTGTCCTTTAGAGTCACTGTTTTGTTGTTAAGTTTTTGTCTGGAAGATCTATCCAGTGAAGTCAGCAGAGTGTTAAAATCCTGTATACAGTAGGTCCTCGGGTTATGTCGGAGATCCGTCCCTACGGTGCTTCGTAACACGATTTTCGCAGTAAGTCGGAACCCATCTACATAAGCACCTATGTCACTCACATGGAGCACATACACAGCAGTAATGAAGTGAAACATTAAGAAAAAAGTTAAAAGAAAGATAACAATTCCTGACCTTTACTTGTGGTTAATAAATACTAAAAAACATAAAGCACATATGTACATATGTTGAAATGACAGAATTTTTTTTTTCTTATAAATAAATGGGAGATGGCGATGTAACCAGGAAACGATGTACTTCGAGTCCAACGTAACCTGAGGACTGTCTGTAATAATGGTATTGTTGTTGATCTCTCTGATAAAGTCCTCCAGAAGTTTTTTTAATATATGTTAGGTGCTACTATATTGGGTGCATATGTGTTTACCAGGGTTATATCCTCTTGTTGGATTGATCCCTTTAGTATTATGTAGTGACCTTTGTTGTCTCTTGTGATGTTCTTCATTTTGAAGTCTATTTTGTTGGATATGAGTATTGCTACTCCAGCTTTTTTTTCTTTTCCATTTGCATGGAAAATTTTTTGCCATCCCTTCACTCTCAGCTTGTGTGTGTCTTTTATTCTGAAGAGGATCACTTGTAGACAGCATATAGTTGGGTCATGTTTTTGTATGCCTTTTGATTTGAGCATTTAATTCATTTACATTTAGGGTTATTATTTACTAGAGGCCCAGTGCAGGAAATTTGTGCACTGGGGCGGGGCGGTGTCCCTCAGCCCAGCCTGCACTCTCTCCAATCTGGGACCCCTCAAGGGATGTCTGACTGCCCATTACCTATAATCGGACATC